GTGATTGTGCGGCATTGTGGCCTTCTTCAGGTCCCAGCCCCCGTCCTTCTGGGAGGATGGAATCGACAAGCTGCCTGAGCGTTGGCGTCGAGTAGTGGATGGTGATGGTGCATACCTCTAATCTTCAGGCTGGTTCGCTATTGAGATATTTACAAAAAAGTCGGGGAAAAAACATATGCATCAACCTAATACAAAAATTCCTAGAAAGTTTTCGAAATTACCCATATTTTCTGAGTGGGCCGCAGTTATATTGAGTGACTCGGGACAATGAGAGGATAGGAGCGTCAGATTCAACGATTTAGGGAAATGCACATCAAAGCAACAGATGGAAATCGATCAACAACAGCAAATTGAGGGAATAGGTGAATAGGCGAATCGACCAATCGGGATCGAAATCGACTTGTGCTTGCTACTTGAGTCGATCTATTGCCAATTCTTCGCATGTTATTTGGCGCGCATTCTTCCAAAACGCTGGATCGCCAACTCCAAACTTCTCTGAGTCGCAAACTATAAACGCGACTCAATGTAGACTCTGTTCGTTTAAGACTGCGCACGCAGACTCAGTGCAGGTCAACTCTGAGTCCTAGCTGTTATGGGAGTAAGGCCGATCGGTGCTAGTAACACTTTGTGAGAGGTTCAATTCGCTCTGAGGTTCAAATGTACTAGCGTATGAATATGTGAATTTCATGTTGGTGATTATGTTTAGAATTGGTTGCACGGCGTGAAGTTACACCATCATCCTCTAACTGAGTGAGTGGTCCGTTCTTTGTTATTTTGTTTGTTCTCGCACGTCCGCTGAATAAATAAATAAAGAAGCAACAAAGCATGAAACCAACCTTTCGGCTTGTTCAAATTGGTGATATTCGCCATAAACAGTAAGAACTTCCTAGTGAGTTAAACCTGAAAACGTGCTTTATTTGAGCAGATGACTACTAGAAGATAAAAACAGCAGAGAAAAGGGAAGTAACAAAGTGTGTGCAGTATGATTACCAAGAAAATCCAATGGATACCACAATGAATATGAAAAAAGGCAACCACCGCGCCAACGAGCCGATTGAATGGCACAGCCGCAAGTTTCGTCATATGTTTCACACAATATTTCTAACTACACTAAAATGCAAGTCTGGCATTTGTAGTTGACATTGGATGAGTTTTTCAGTTTCAACGAAACATGCATTGTCGGGATTATAATGAACTCGAACTAACTTCATA